GATATATTTGTGAAGTTTTAGTGGAATTGCTTGACAGGTTCGAGTAATTGCTACACAATAATGAAAGGTGCAGGGTATAATTCAATCGGTTTATACCGACTGAAATGTTTTTACTTGTTTTCCCTTAATTTAGCACATTTTATTGAAACCTCAAAAAAAATTAACAGAACCTGGAAGGTTTTTTAAATCAATTTCTTGATGTTTGAATAACACAAAACTTTAATAATGTAAACACTAGAAAAAGAATGAATTTTAACTTTATCAAATGTTGAAAAGAGCCCTCTATAGATCCCGTAAGAATAAGTTTAAATTCGTCAGCTGTGAACTATCACTATCTTTTAGGCGTGCGGTTTTTACTTAAAACTTTTCTTACGACGTGATAATCATTTCTTATCAACTCAATACTCCCATCCGACAGAACATTTCACCAAGGTTTTCCAGAATAAATAGGTATTAATAAAATGGAAATGAAATTTTTTTTTAAGTAAAAACTAAAAAATATTTCAAAATATTTTTTCATTTTATAAGATGTAAAAAAATTATTTGTTTTTGCGAATGGAAGTTACAATTTAGAACTATACACCTTTCTCTTTTCAACAAATTTTTTCAACGTTTGTTAGGAATCGCGTGGGTGATAAGCGTCGGACGTAGAATAGGCGGCTCTTTGGTCTGCGTCTCATCCCTGAGGGACGGCAGTTTTTGAATCCTGGCAGGAGGTATAAAATGCAAACATGAATCATTTGTGCAATGGAGAAACCAATTTAGTACTCCAGGTGGTAATCTAAAAACGTCGGAGTATCTACTATCTTTGGAGGTCGGCTCTACGAATTCTGGGGAGAGCCATGTATTGCATTTGATTGATCCGTTCAGGAGGAACGCAAAAACGTGGCGTTCGTCACCTACACCCGATGCACGGACTTTAGAAAACAATAAAGCTATGGAAGGACTACCGAACACTCAAGCTCTACAAACCAAGAACGAAATAAACATGAGTAAAGCTCAAGCCAAAAAAAGGGATGATCAGAATGCTGATACCACACCACAAGTAAAGCAGGTGAGGTATCTTAGACGCCTACTCAACAGATGAGGAAGAACTCGCCAGAGAAATAGATTGGATCCTAAAGCAAAAGAGGTCCAGTAAAAGAAAGAAAAGCGGTCATAAGTCATAAGTAATGTGGTTGACTATAATCAAATAGAGTCAACATTGAAAAATAAGGACATCAATCGTAAGGTTAAAATGATGAATAACAATCAATTTAAGCTTATTGTAAATTCCGAAATGGACTACAGGAATCTTACCAGAGCCATGAATGGATCTGGACTAGAATGGCATACCTATGAAAACAAATAGACCAGTGCGAGAAAAGTCATGTTAAAAAATTTTCTGTATACGCTGTATGGGTTACAAAACCTTAGATGTTACAAATGAAATTAAAAAAAAATACAAATAAAAATGGAAAAATATTATGGTGCCTCTACCGCTGTTTATGTTAACGTTTTTAAATGACGAGGAAATGAAAAAAATTTATGAAATCGATCACATAAACAGAATAAAAATTAGAATAGAGGCACTTCGAAAGGATGGGACCATTCCGCTGTGTAAAAAGTGTCAAAGCTTTGGACACACACAAAATTTTTTCCAGAGAGAACCAAATTGTGTTAAATGTGCAGATTGTAGTAAGCCAAGGAGTATTACAGCAAAGTGCTCCAATTGTTTGGAGGCCGACCCAGCAAACATATACTATTTGGGATGCCCTGTAGCTAAGGAACTGCAAAAACGTAGGACTAACAACAACAAAAACAACAATTTGCAGAAGAATGCTGACATCGAAAGACGTAACATACAAGGATGTTCTCTTAACGAAAGCCGATGACAGTAACATAAGCAATAAAACAAGAGCTAGTGATGCGAATGTTTTGTATAAAATGCAAAATATAATGCAAAACATGTTAGATGTGACGGACAAAATCTCTCAGAAGTTGACCATTTGATAGAGCGAGGAAAAAAAATCGAATACCAAAAAAGCTGGTAAATGATGGCACAAGAAAATTTTAGAATAGCAACTTGGAATTGCAATAATATTGCAAATAAAAAGTTGAAGTTTTTGTACATACACAGAATATAGGCGTGTCCCTCGTAACTGAAACACGTAGACGTTAAGAAGCAGGATTCAATTTCATGGTTATAGAATTTACAACTTTAACAACCCTGGCAATATAGCGAAGGGCGGAACGAAGATAATAATAAAAGAAAATATAGTACATTGTGATCTGCCCCAGATGCAAGCCGAGGGAATGCAAATGACAGCGGTTCAGATCAGTTCAGTGGGCGAGAAAGAGGTGGCAGCAATCGCTTGATCCTACCGACAAAACTAGATATAATCGTAAATCGCAGCAACTTAGACGCTATATTAGAAAATATAAATATAAGGAGTATTCGGTTGCCAATTATATTCAAAATTTCACGACGTGTGAGAGAACCAATTACTCGCTGTGGAGGGCAACAAAGAAAGTGAAGCAACCTATCAAACATCTTGCTCCTATTAAAAACAAAGATAGAATGTGGGCAAAAGCTTACAATGACAAGGCAAAAAATCCGCGTTCGCGGATCATTTGGCCTATATCGGTCCACACGACCGTCAGGGCGTGTATGAAAATGAGGAATCTGTTCATGTTGAGGATAGCGTGACTATTCCAATTGTCAAGGAAAGAGATGTTATAGAGAAAATCAGGACTCTTAAATCTAAAAAGGTTCCGGGCTTTGACCTAATAACGGCCGATATTTTGAAAAAAATTACCCAAAAGGGGTATAACGATGCTTACGTGCCTAGTAAATGCGTGTACAAGGTTTAACTTTCTGCCTGATATTTGGAAAGCTACAAACCTGGCAAACCTGTAAATAAGGCGACTTCTTATAGACCAATCTCATTGTGGCCGATGATTTCGTATCGATTTGTTGATTTTTCGAGTGGCCGGAACCACTCAACCTAAATCAGATTCCTAATAATTCCTAATTGACCTAATAGAAAATTCAATAGAAGAAAAGTCAATATGTTCTATCATATTTTTGGACGTAGACCTGGCTTTCGACAAGGTTTGGCATTGTGGATTAATCAAAAAACTTAGGCAATTACTACTAAAGCAGTATTGTTAAATCTCACCTGACTAATGGGGTATTTCGAGTTAAACAAAAAGATGTACTCTTCGCTTAAAGATATCAGGTCGGTGGTACCACAAGGGAGTATATTGGGCCTGATATTATACTTCTTATACTCATGTAATATTCAGAAGACAGAAGAATCACAGACAAGTCACAGACGAAGGATCTCACGATCCGTAGTGTTACAGACGAAATTGATCGATCAGAAACTGGTAAATAATTAAAAAATTGGACCAAAATTAATGGTTAGTCGTTTCCGACTAGTTTTATAATTTATTTTGAGTTTTTTAGTGGATTAAAGTTACACACTGCTGTTTTGCGTCTGGCATTGTCTTTCAAGATTTTTCACCCTTCCTCCAGGCAAAAACACAATTTTTTTTCTTTTACTTGTTATAATTTTTTTTTATTTAATTTTATTATATGTTATAATATTTTTAATTATTAAATATTTTATAATTTTTACTTACAAACTGCACTAATTTTATAAATAAAATAACAAAATCTTCTTTGTTTACTTTTTATATAGCGGTGCAATTTAAAAAAAAAAAGCATTTGGCCTACATTGTTAATTTTAGTTTGACAATGCTCGGAGCAAAAAAAAGACTTACCTAAAGTTTTTGCTTCACTATGTTTTTTTTAAGATATGACTTTTTAGGGAGTGTAAGCGAGACAGAAACAAAACTGCTCCTTCCTTTCAAGTATTTCTAATTCGTTGGGGTGGCTACTGCTAATACAGCCAAAATTCTTTCGGGATACTCAAACAAGTGTTAGTTTTCTAATATCTTAAGTAAAAAATTAAAACGTTTTTTCGAAATTTTGAAATACGTTTAAAATCTAAAAATATTTAAATTTTTATAATAATATTTAAATATACACAAAGTTTTTTTTTAATGCTGACAGAAGTCGCAAAGGATTCAAACAATCGCTACCTATTGCTTTAACATTTTCTTTCTATGGTTTTAAGCAAATAACAAATATATTATCTTTCACATTATTCAACCTTTCATTTTCTTGTGACATCATATGAGCTGTTAATCTAAAAACTTTTTTATTGCCGCTACAGTCAGATCTACCAGAAAGGCATACTTAAGGTGAACTAAATTGACCGTTTCGTTTAGCTCATCGTGACGCGACCAACAGATTACGGATTATTGCAAATATCAAAGAAATATCATAATATAAAAATACATACGTATTCCTAATACTTCAAATATTTAGACAAGAGTTTTAGTGAGAAAAATTTCCTACGATGGTAAAGTACTCTGGGAAGGAACACCAAAAAATATAAACTGAACTATTTTCCAATTTCAAGGACTATTCGCATTATATTAAGCGACACTATCATTATATTATATTATGGGGCACTGTCAGAATATATATAATCCAGTAATTTAAATAGGATAATTTAATAGGAAAAATTGCGAAAAGAACGGTCATTATATTATAGTTTGAAAAGAAAAACAAAATAAAAATAGGAATGAATGAGATTTTTTCAAATATTTTTTGAATATATTACTGTCGCTGTAAATGTAAATGGTATGATTCCCACTGTCGCAAACTTGGGACAATACGAAAGGGACATTAGGCAGAAATTTTTTCGTTCTGTTTATTAAAGTAATAGGTCAATTATCCGATTCGCAGCAGAGCAAATCGAATTTACTTTAAACCTTAATTTCAAACTTTTGAAAAGTTTTAAATATTGTTAGGATCCATAAACTAAATAATATGATGTCAGATTTTTATCAAATTTTGATTTATTCTAATGTGTAAAAAAAATTCTCCAAAATTTTTGTATTGGTTTTGACATTTGTTAAGAATTTTTATGAATTTAGTAGATCTGGTAACACTTTTCCATGTATTATATACTTGGGATTGCTCCAAAAGAATTGTCAAATGCAATACCATTTAAAAAAAGTGAGGATTAGCGAATTAAAGCCTTTGGAAAAATGACAAGGTTCTAGATTAGTATTTAAAAAAATTTTGTAATTAAAATACATTTTTGGTTGTTTTAGAACTTGTATTGAACTAGGTGACGTGACCCCGCATAATATTAAACAACTAAAAAAATTGAACACTGTTGTTTTTCCTGTATCATACAACGATAAATTTTACATTGATGTACTAGATGCGGGGGAATTGGCTAAATTAGCATATTATAATGATATTGTTGTTGGAGCAGTTTGTTGCCGCATTGATACAACAGAAAATCAAAGAAGACTATACATTATGACTCTTGGATGTTTATATCCGTACAGACGGTTGGGAATAGGAACAGTTATGTTTAATCATATATTAAACTATGTTGAAAAAGACGGGAATTTCGACTCAATCTTCCTGTAAAGATTGTATGACCTGTATTATAAATCTATAATTATTTTCAAATTTTAGGCATGTTCAGGTAAATAACAATGGTGCTATTGATTTTTATAAAAAATTTGGTTTCGAAATAGTAGAAACGAAAAAGCATTATTACAAAAGAATTGAACCAGCTGATGCTCATGTTCTGCAGAAATCTTTAAAAAACGATAACTGTGAATTTCCTAATACTACAAATGGTACAGCACTTGGACAAATAATTCAAAATATAAATAACCATTATCAAGTAAATGGCAAAAGGTAAATGTGAGTAATTATCACTGATCTGTAAAAATTTAAGGTAAAAATAAATCAGATGAAGAAAAATTAAAAAAAAATTGGTTATATTAATGAGTCACTTCAGTGATGGCAATTTTAATGAATAAAATACATCATACAAAAATTTACGTTTATATAGAAAAATACAAATATATAACTGCAAGGAAGGCAGCACAATATTGAAAGCTTGAATTGAAAATTATAAACGGAAAATATATTCTCCAATCATCTCAATCCATCTATTTACTTAAGGCAATATCAGCAGCAAGGAATTAACTCTTGTTATAAATACACTGATACACCTAATGAAAGAATTGAAAATGAAAAAATGGAAAAGCAACAATAAAATAATATGTACATATGTATATTTACGGCTTTGAATATGATTACCGTACTAGTATAACAAAAATGGGTCTTCCTAGGAGAGCAAATGAAGCATAATGAAATAAATGCAAAATGTTGTGCATACATACCTGATTTTCTTAATTTATTTGGCTAAAAATTCTTTTGTTTCATTTTAGTCAAATATCTACAATGAAAAAGAGAAAATAGAGTTGACCGTTTAACCGCGATACCCGTACGAATTTGTTATACTATGTGCGAGTTATGAATATCCCATAGCGGACTATGGGATACTCATAACCCGCATGCTATGCATAAATTCAGTACTGTGTACTTTTTGTGTGCAAAATTTCAGTACTTCCAAGTCAGTCTTCAATATTTTCTAAGATATGCCCAAACTACTAAGGTATGTACAGAAATTTCAACGACATTTATCAAACACTGACCCTACTAATATATTTGCTGTGAAATTTCAATGCCACAACTTTATATTTTCTGAGATATAGCCAAATAACTTTGGAAGTTGTATAGTAGTTAACAGAAGGAGCAAGACAGTTTTAACGTCTTTTATCAAACACATTTGGAAGTTGTATGTCAGTTACGCTAACTAGTACCGCGATCATAACCAATTAAAATAGGCTTCTGCAATTTACTATAATAAATCATTTGCGAAAAGTTGATGAATTTAGCTCAATTACTTTTTGAATTATTGCTGGGACGGGCGGACGGAATGACCGACAGACACACGAACAGACAAACATAAATCGACTCCGTGTAATAAGTTATCCACAAACTTTTATCCTTTATATATTTGTCGAATATAAATAATATAAAGATTCCTATATTACTTACGTAAATCACATAATGTAAAGCAGTCCAATATTTTACTTAATTTAATCGTACTGAATGTTTTTTATTGAATGTGCATAGTAGATGGTAGACTATTAAAAAAACATTGTTTTCAAATATGTACATACATAATCCGGCAGAACAAATATATTAAAAAAAAATTAGTGTGGCTTACAAAGACGTAGTGTTTTTTAGAATTGTTGAAGCAAACTTACATTTTTTATGTAATATTATTGAAAGTTAAGGAACACTAAAATTTTTGTTCCGTTCAAACATTGTAAGTTACTTGAAATTAATATTACAAATAGAAATACATATGTATGTATGTATATAATATTCTGTATGTTCATACAATAGTACGTATTCAGTATATTCCAAATTATACTTCCCATTTGTTACTTCAAATCGTCGGTTAAAAGCCAGAAAGCATTAAGTCAGGAAACTGTGTTTTGAGTAAAAGTCAATTTGAAAAAATCGTAAAATTGTAAAACTAATCAATTAGTGCAATGGGATTGGTCTCTTTAATTTCTGGATTTAAAAACTACATTCTGGATTTGCATGATTTTTTGCCACAACAAAGATTATATTATTCTGATTTAATTCATCTATGAAATCCGAATTCTCAAAAAATGCACTTAGTGCTTTCGGCTTTTTAACCGACGAAATGCGAATAGCAATTTAAAATGCATTTTTTTTCTGAATTTTGTTGCCATTTCTTATAACTGTTTATTTTTTATAATTTTTATATAATATTACTGCTTTTTCAACAATTTTTTTATATCTAATAATATAAACAGCTTAAATCGATCACTACGATTAAATCTGAAAGAAAATTTTAGAAACACAGGTGATCCCAACAAATTAGAAATACTAAAGGAAGGAGCATCTTGAAAAAATAAACAAGTAAAAACGTTTCTGTCGGTATAAACCGATTGAAATATACCCTGCACCTTTCGTCGTTGTATAGCAATTACTCGACTTTATTATTTTTCCAAATATTTAGAATAAGCTTTTGGACTTGTATAGGAGCTATTCGAACCTGTCAAGCAGTTCACCCAAAACTTCAGAAATATATCTGGCCTATAACTCGACACATAACTGCCAAGTTTCATAAATTTGACTTTAATATTTTTCCAAATATTTAAAATTAGCTTCAGGAGTTGTATGGCAGGTACCCGAACCTGTCAAGCAATTCCAGCAAAACTTCAGAAATATGTCTGACCTATAATTGGACGCACGACTGCCAAGTTTCATGAATCTGACTTTATTATTTTTCCAAATATTTAGAATAGGCTTTTGGACTTGTATGGGAGCTACTCGAACCTGTCAAGCAATTCTACCAAAACTTCAGAAATATATCTGGCCTATAACTTGACACATAAGTGCCATGTTTCATAAATCTGACCTTATTATTTTTCCAAACATTTAAAATTAGCTTTTGGAGTTGTATGGCAGGTACCCGAACCTGTCAAGCAATTAGACTAAAAATTAAGAACTATATCTGACCTATAATTGGACACATGACTGCCAAGATTCATGAATCTGACTTTATTATTTTGCCGAATATAAAAAATTTGCTTTTGGAGTTGTATGGCAGCCAGTCGAACCGGTGCAGCTACCCTATTAAAATTTTTAGAGCATGTGTAGAATATAATTGGAGACATGTATACAAAATTTTATATTTATAGCTGTATTAGTTTTTGAAATATTTAAAATAAACTCTTTGTGTTGCATGGCAGCTACCCGAACCTGTTGTCGGAATAAGACCAATTACAATAGGGTTCGTCCTTGGCACAAAAGGAAAAGCTTGTGAAAGTTTGGTGTCGATTGCATTATTCGTTTTTGAGTTATCGTGCGATCGGACAGACATGTCTAAATCGACGCAGAATTTTACGCTGAGCAAGAATATATATATATATATATATGTCCATACCAGAGACGTCTCCTTCAAGTAGTTACAAACTCCATACCAAAGTTAATATACCTTTCATGAAGTGCAGGGTATAAAAAGTCAAATTTTTTAGTTGTCTTTCTTTGTTCCGAGCATTGTCAAAGTCGTAATAGGAGTATGTTTATTTTATTTTCTTATCTGTCTTCAACTATAAAATATACGTAATTTATAAGAAGGATAAGTTAAAAATTTTTTTTAAACTGAAAACTAAAAAAAATTAAATTTAAACAAAACTCATTATTTTTTTTAAGCTTTGAATAAATGTATTTTATAAATTGCAAATAATCAGATAAGAGTATTTTAATATCATAATAACTTACTTCCTCGAAAATGAACATATATTATTAGTTTTATTTGAAAGTTTTATTTCATGCTTTACTCTAAAATTAAAATATGTGTCATATGTTAGCATATTGAATTGAATTATTTTCGCATTAAATTATTTTTTCGCATTAAATTACGTAACCTGCAATGTATATTGTAATTGTCTCTGAAAATTGTGGAACTGGTTCAATATAATCTTCAAAAGAATCTTCATCCTGTAATTATATAAAAAAAGACAAATTTAAAATATTACATGTACCTATGTTAATTTTATGAAATACAAACTAATTTTACTTAAAAAAAAATTCAGTCCTGGCAAAATTATGTCATTCGAAGTAATTTTAGTATGTATAAAACAAGAGCAAATGTTTTCTTTATAACATTAAAAACTTGAGAAATTATAATTCAAATTTACGAATTATAATTAAAATTCCGAATTAAAATTTAACACTATTAAACAAATATTTCTTTAAATTATTAATTTGAATTATATTCATATACATACATATGATGGTAAATTTCCATTTGTTCTTTTAAATGAGAACAAGAATTTGGAGTTATACACTTCTTTCTGCTTACAAAGTTTTTTTTCTTATTTTCATATTTTAAATTTTGATTTGTAATTTTTTTATTTTTTTTTAAAGTTCACTTATAATTTACAGACACTTTACAACTGAAATCACAAATTATTTTGTTTACTATTTATTCAAGCGATGTATTTCTCCAAAAATAAAACAACCTCTGGCATTTACTGTTAATTTCAGCTTGACAATGCTTAGAGCAACGAAAGAGATTTACCTGAAGTTTTCTGCTTCACTGCTTTATTTTCAAGATGCAATTTTTTAGGAAAGATGCTCCTTCCGAGCTGGAAGCAAAGATTTAATACTTCTAATTCGTTGGTCCATTATTATTTTATTAGATACTACAAAGAAAATCAAAAGGAAAATAGCAAAAATAACTAGAAAAATGCTGTTAGATGTACATAGTTAAAAATTTTTTTTTTATTGTTGTGTTAATGTCTTTATATCTAACATAATGTCTTTATTTTTAACAAGTCCCAATACTCAATTTTTTTACGAAGTATTCGCTCCATTGGTCGTGTCATATTTCTTATTATTTCTTCCTTTTTTACGTAAAAAAGAATTTGATATTTCAAAAAATCTCAGGATATTATACACATTTTTTAAAAGGCTTCCCATTTAAATTCTATTGAACAAAAAAGATAGAAAGGTAGGAAGAAAGAAAAGAATTAAAATTTTTTTTTTAAGTTCATATTTCACTATACATAGTTCAAATGTTAATGAGGAAGGACATGACTTTTTATGTACATTTTGTATTTCTCAATATGGTAAGTTGAGTAGTTTCAGTTAACAAAAATGTATTTAATTAAAGTAATATAATTTGGTACATTTCAACAATTTGAGTTATTATCTGATTTCAGTTATTTAAAAGATACTTATATCAATGATTTCAATTAATTTTGAGTTAGAAGTTATTAAAGATAAATATGTATGTGCCCACTTCTAAACAATTTTGTTTCTATATACATATATATATAATTATTTTAGGCTTTCGGTAGGAACGCACTTGTCC